ATCTCTAATAGTACAGTATTTACTCTCTTCTCCCTGCTGCTAAGTCCCTTAGCTCAGGAAAGGAGAAAGTGCATAACGTTATTTTAACTTCCCATAGAATTTTTTTAAATGCCAACAAATTGGCCTTCTGAGGATATCTTTGCAATGCGAGTTAAAATGTAGTTATAAGAAATATACAAGAAGTTAAGTTTGCACAGGGAGAAGAATTCAGCAATGGTCATGGATAGCAGGGAGTCTTCATTTTCTATGTGTCATTTTTCATTGATTCAAGATATCTTTATTTCAAACAAAAATGAAATTCTGCTGAACACAAATTAATGCAGAGACTAAAAGCCTGCTAGGCTAGATTTGCCTGCACAACAGGAATGATGGCCTCAGCAACAGCAGATTGCTGCTGATTAAATGCTTCCCTTTTTTTTATTTCAATGTATACACAGCTTCACCTGAAATTAAAAGAGGCAGCCTTAAACAGCTGCAGTCTGCCATTGCTGATGACATTGTACTTGTTATATAGTTGGAGTTGTGCGATAGGATTCTAACCTGTATCTCAAACTGCAAGTAGGATGTATTTGTTAAGGGAAATTTTCTCCTGTATAAACATGTTAAGATGATATCTGTATAATTTCAAAGTGGTTTTTGAATTATTCCCCCCACACACACTTTTTTTGTTTTGGTCCTAACCAAACTGGCTAAAATGAGCTGAGATTTTCCTAACTGATAAACACTCATATTTGTAAGCCTCATCTAACAGTTTTTTAAACAACATGCATTTAAAACAGCCATTCCCAATGGGGGGCACATGACACCCCCCCCGAGAGCTGCTAGCACATTAGAAGAGTGTCACTGACCAGAAACGATTCTTGATACATCACCTTATAAGGTTTGTTATGTGACTTACACAATCCTGATTCGGCCAACATTTCTTTCATATTGCATTTATGGTCATGGCCAAATAAATAAAGAAAAATGTTGAGAAAGGCTGAGATTTAAAGGACACTAAAAGACAGCTCTAAGGTTTGACAGAACAACTTGAAATGAAACCACTAGTCAAGGATGATGATAGTGTAAATGAATAAAAGGAACATTGCAAAGTATTAAGGAATTGGACAGAACATTAGGGAAAGAAGAAGCGCAATCCAAGCTTCAGGAATGCAAGCTTAGGAAATACAAGTCAAGAAAATGCATTTTATTTTGGTCTTCTCTGGCACTTGGATGATGCTAGATTGAAGCCACTCATGCAACACTGTGTGATCATCTGGAATGCAAAACATTTTTTTTCCCAAACAGATCTGAGAACATGATTTGGTTCTCACAAATCCATCAAATATGAATCAGAAACAATTTGACTGCAGTGGATTTATTCTACAGTCACTCAGGTGTGATTCTGAAGTCATGCCCTGCCTTTGTGACTCTGAGGATTGGCCTTTTGCAATCAGTAATCTGATCTGGATCACAGTTCCATTCTTTCCCCTCCTTTGGAATGATGTGTTTTCATACAAAAGTGTGACAGCATTTGTGGTCAAAGTGTCGAAGGAGCATCTGGGTATTTTTTTTTTATTTTTTATTTTCTACCATGTGCTTTTTTCAACGGAGACATCGAACAAAAAAAGGGAAGTGTTTTTGTACCAAACAGTCCAATTTCACTCCTGTAGAACCAATTGCTACAAAGGGCAGGAAAGGCAGATTTAAAAAAAAAAACACACAGTACAAGTATATAGGACAATCCCCCAACATTTTAGGGCCCCAAAATGATGCAAACACCAGTGTTCTGTGAATTATATCATCTTAGAGAAGCCACTATGAAGGCTGGTAATCACACCATTGCCTATGCAGTTAAGATAACCATGGGGAACAGTTTTATGCTCTAGCTACCTCTCAGTCTGAGTTTCAAAAAGTTGTACTGAAGATTAATACCAGACTCATTATGTATCTGTGTAGCTAATCATCAGGGCATCTTCTTTTTGCAGGTAGTGAGACAAACTGCCTGGCTAACCAGACAGCTGGCTTAGTTTCAGAGCCTGGGAATCTTTTTTTTTAATCACAGTTACTAGAATTACCCACCAATGTTGGACACTTCCAAGAGCTGTGCAAAAGAAGGGGAGGATGAGGAGGAAGAAGAGGGAGAGGCAGAGGAGGAAATTTTCTAACCTCTGCTTGACTGGGAATGGCTTGAAGTTCCCATTTTGGAAGATACTTTATGTTTATATCCCAGATATTTTATGCCACATCCCATCATCCAAGAGCCCCAGCTCTTATCAAAGGCAACAAAGAAGCTTCCGTGTTGTGTTTGACAAAGCCCTTCTGCAGTCAAACAAGTTTTGTCTGGGAGGTGAACATCTTCTTTGGCAATCAATGAACATACCCATAAGGACCAATTGGTTTCCAAACGAGGCTTGTTAAAAACCAGCCATGTTGGGAGCCCCAGTCACATATATTAGAAAACGAGGCTTGTTAAAAACCAGCCATGTTAAAAATAAGAGCAGGGTGGGAGCCCCAGTCACATATAGTAGATGAAATGCAGCTGCTCTTGGCAAAATGTGAAGTTGCACTTAAGGGAGACCATAGTGCATAATGCTCAGGCAGCTCGCATCTCCCCATTTGATCATGTAGTTCACAGTGGGACTGGTTGCAACACATGTTGCAACTAGAGCCTCGTGGCGCAGTGGTTAAAACGCTGTATTGCAGCTAAAACTGTGCTCACGACCTGGGGTTCAAATCCCAGGTAGCCAGCTTAAGGTTGACTCAGCCTTCCATCCTTCCGAGGTCGGTAAAATGAGTACCCAGCTTGCTGGGGGGCAATGTGTAGCCTGTATAATTAAAATTGTAAACCGCCCGGAGAGTGCTTGTAGCGCTATGGGGCGGTATATAAGTCCAAAAATAAATAAAATAAAAATAAATAAATGTCTGCACAACCACTTTATAAACATGACTTCCACATCAATGCCATTATCACTGCCATTTGTGTAGAGACTCTTGAGTCATGCAGGCATAGCACTGCAACGGGATTTCAGCCAATATGACATTTTACAACAAGGGTGTAAACCATTTGATGCAGTTCCAAATTTGTTCCCGTAAAACCGAAAGAGTAAAGCCAATGACTGTTTCTTGTCTTATCTTATACATTTATATTTGGAATTCAAATGTCACATCAAATTAAAGGAGCTGGATTTATTCAGTGTAGTCATACCCATACATTTCTAAAAGGCTACTCCCGTATTTCCTTTTCTGACATACCTTTCCTGTTATCAATGTAATATCAGCATTTTTATGTAGTTCTGCAGCAGAAGTAGATAAAGCTGGATATTTATTTTCTGGCACAAAGGACAGCTCAGAGAGCAACCTTAAATACTCAAGAAGCTAATCTTCTGGCAGACAAACACTAGAGCAGTTTTTTCTGGAATGTCATTCACAAAACACTGCTGATAAGCAGCATCCATTCATCTTAGGCTAGTGGGTAGAATGCATGCGGTGACATCATGTGATTTGTCTAAAAGCCACCCTAGACATGACAAGTCCCTGTAATAGCAACGGGTTGACATGTTTAAACCAAATCTGTCTGACAAATATAATTGAAAGGCTCTGAATTAAACAGCAAATAGCAGGTGTGGGTAAGGAGTTCCCAATCCTTACATTCCTGCAGGTTTTCTCAGATCTACAGAGCAAGCCCAGGTTTTTATTCCACTCTGCCTTGTTCAATCCTTAACAGCAAATATAAATGGCTCCTGTGAAATTTTCATATAAGATTTATATCAATAATCATGTGCCAACCTATATATCAATGTGTCTTATTGTCTTTGACCAGACATTACTTTGATCCCGAGGAGTACCTGTACCAAAATGGAGCAGACTAGATAGACAGTGAACATGTACCATTTATAGTCATCTTCAGAGTTATGTCTATACATTAGCTGCTACTCAATTTGAGATCTCAAAATTTGCTGAGTCCTGCAGGTGACTTTCTGAAACCCATTTCCTTCCCCCCCCTCCCCGGTTAGGCTCCAGGATCAGGGTTTTCGGGGTTTTTTTTGGGGGGGAGAGATGGCAGATAATGGGCTAAGAGTAATAAATTTGGGAGGATTGACCTCCTACTCTCAGAAAACCTCTGTTCTAAAGCATCACATGCACTTCCACAAGAAAGAAGAGTTAAGGATGAGAGTCAAGAAATATGAATGTATCTCCTATAGGTTCCCCTTAACCTGAAGTGCTCTCTGCCATCTGAGCTCACCTCCAATGATAGAGTCTGATGGAGAAATAAGACGAATAGAGTCAGAAGGAGAAATAGGATGAATACTGGAAGAAGGAAGATAAGTCACAAGAAAAGGAAGGTTTGGTTCCCTCACCCTCCTCTCATTTCCATTTCACTGAACCCTTCTTGTTTCCTGCAGGGGGTATAAATCCTCACTTGACATGTGAGTACAAGGAACTGCAAAATTATTTTCCTTGTTTAGTGAGAGGACAAGGTATTTCATAGTGATATACTTGCACATGAATGAGCAAACTTAGCAAAATTGCACTAATGATGGTAGTCATCACACTAAGTAACAACACCTGCTGCTTTGTTGCGTGGACTTTTAAGGATCAGATGCCTCAAGTGAGTCGCTGGCCTCTTTTTGAACCCTCCGCCAGTTGTTCTGAATTTTCTCTGGGCATCTGTTTTGTTTCTCAAAAGCTATTTGTGTAGAGACAGTTTGCAGAAATTATGGGGACCTTGGTGACAGGAAAAAGCAGCAGCTCTTTTGGTGTCTCCTTTGCTAGGAAGTGAGGAATCTTGCAGGGTTTGAACATTTCTCGTGAAGGTGTCTCATAGAGTAAGGGGGCCACAGGTATGAATAAGAAGAAAAATTAGCAAACATTCTTTACAACCCAACTTTTTGATGGATTTGAAGTCCAGAGATACGCTCTAGTCACATGCAGCTCAGCGCAAAGTTGTGCAAAAAGGCAAGTCACACTGCACACCTCAAGGGAGGATGGGAGAGACATATGGGATACATTCTTCTTACCTGCACCAGAGTCATTTGGGAGCCGAGAGCCAGCAAAATCTTCTCTGTCTTGGTAGGGTATGGATTGTCTCGGTGCTTGTATAACCACTGTTTTAGGGGCCGTGCCATATCCTGCAGCGCCTGTCGCTTGTGCCTCACCTTGCCACTGTTTTGCCGGGCACTGTAGAGTAGAGGTAGACTTATAAGCAGAAAAATAATGTATATTTCTATTTCTCCTTTATATGTTTAGGCGTGTGTTTATATGTGAGTGTATATATAAAATATCGTGCCATCAGACCAGTTCTGACTCATGGTGAACCTTTTCAGTGTTTTCCAGGCAGAGGAAAGTGATTTACCATTCCCTTCCTCTGGGGGCGCCCCGGGACTGTGCAGCTTGCCCAAGGCCACCCAGGCTGGCTCTTCTCTCTGGAGGCACAGTGGGGAATCGAACTTCCAACCTCTGCCTCCGCAGCCAGATGCTTAACCCACTGAGCTATCCAGATAGCATATGTCTGTCTGAATAAAAAGATTATGCTCAACTTTTGGTACTGCCCATCAATTAATTAAGACTTCCAGTCCAACAAAAGTTAGTTATGACTTCTTGAAACTTAAGGAACGAATCAGCAAAGGCTAACTTAAGCTCTGCTGCTTTCAGTGGAACATGGTCAGAAAAACTAACTTTAGTTAGATCAGTGAAATATTATGCATAATTCGATTCCAGCATAAATCTGATTGTGTTCAATGGGACCAGCTACCAGCTAAATATGCATGGGATTTCGGTCTTCGTTGACAAACTGCCTGTTAATATTTGCAGCTGTACTAGCTTCTTATATTGCCCACTATTATCAGTCAGAAACAATTAGGAACAATATTGTTATACGACATAGAGGCCTTCTGGAGCAAAGGTTTCTAGTTTGGATATTTCTCCTAGTAGTAATAGAAGTTAAGCAAAAACAATAGAAGTTATGTTTAGTGGACCCAAGCTCTTGTCTGACCTGGCCAGTGGCTGCAGCTCATCTGGAAATGGTTGTTTTTCAGCTATTTAAAAGAAGAAGAAGGTAAATCAGAAGTGCACCTCTGATTTGTCTTGGACTTTGTTATTGTTTTGGCTGAAAACAAGAGCATCAGCAGAAACAACACAACATGTGTCTGGGGGGGGGTTACACACACTGCTCACCCCTGCTTGAGATGGTTTGGATTATAATTCCTGCAATACTTTAAGGAAGAAATGTTTGATCCTCTAAGCATTTTTTGTCTTAAGTTCATCTAAAGTTTACGGAGGGGAACATTGTGTCACCTAGATATTTTAGGCCATATCTGTCACAATCCTTTACCATTGGCCATGGAGACAAGAGCTTCTGGAGTCTGAAGTTCAAAATATATAAAAGATCAATGTTTTCCTGCCCCGATTTAAAGAAATTTCTGAAAAGCTAATGTATCTCACCTTTTAAAATAGGCACATAAAGTATAGGAACAGGAAGGAGGCTAGGGCAGAGACAGAAACAGATGAGATGTCAGCTTTGCAATTAGACAGTGATAGAACATTAGCTCTCAAAAAAGTATCCTCCCCATACCAAGCCTTCATGTTTGTACAATCAACTTGCAAATGAATCCCATGCTTATCTCCAGATAATGAAAAGCAATGAACAACAGCAAGCTAGTTTGAACCTTATGGAGTTGCGAAGCTACACAGCACAATAAACTTATTTGCTTTCTGCCCTCTGCTCACCTAATCAACTTCTCCAGGGTATTCAGCAAAACACAATTACGAGTTGTGTATAGACAGAAAGTGGCTTGTCGTATGCCAGTTCTATTCTTTTTCTCTTCGTTTGCACTGGAAAATCTTTTTAGCTAACCAAAACACAGAGAAACATCTACATATTCCTCAAAATAAACAGTGTGAAAAACAAACAAACAAGCAAGGAAAAACTCAAGGCCCTGGCTTCACAACACAAGGCCAAGAACTTGCCAAGTTGTAGGTTTCAATAAGCATCAGTTGTACACAGTTCTGGCACCTGCCCATAACCTCTTTAACAAAACTTGGAAAAGTTCCTTCTTGGACTACAGCTCCCAGAGTCCACCCCAAAAAACAAACAAACAAAAAAGCATGGGAAAGCTATTGAATCCACTAGCATAACTTAGAAAATAACCTTTTCCCAATAACAACTACAAATATTTTTGTATTTTTTTATTTTTTGTGTGTTTGTGTTTTTTTGTTTGCTTGCTTGTTTTTTGTATTATTTCACTGTTTTTACTATATTGGAAGCTGCCTAGAGTGGTCTTTTAGACCAGATGGGCGGGGTAGACTTCATTTTTGTTTAAATGTAAGGAAGTGGTGGCTGAGCAATTCTGAAAGCTGTAGCCATGAAAAACTGTTCTTTCCAATCTCTCAGACAGAGTGGGGTTATTGTAGTGCAGATGATGCCCTCATGTTGTGGTACTGAGCGTGTTGAACTAGAACTTTTGAGAGACTTGGGTTCACATCCTCACTCAGCAACACACACTCAATGAGAGTCATACCTTCTCAACCAGCTCTACCTCATAGGGATGTTGTGACATTATGAAAAGGGAGGGCCATGTAAGCTACGTTGAGCTCCCCGCAGGGGAAAGAAGGGGCGTGTTATGAATGAATGAATTTAACAGGAGTCATTCAGCCACCAGTTGTACCCACCTATCACTTGGACTCTAATCAAGGGAACTTGCAGCAGTGATCCACCAAAAAAATCACATGCCACCAGTGCCAAAGGGGGGGGGGGACACTCAAACAGAGAGCCTCTTGTTTATGGGACCCCACTCCAGCTTTATTCACACTGAACCGCAAGTGGCTGCACACATAGTTCCAGGTAAATTTCAAGATGCAGGTGATAGTGACCCAGTGTGGCGTAGAGATTAGAGTGCTGGTTGGGGGAGGGTTGGTGTTTTATCCTTATGCTTTATGTATGCAGTGTTCCCCAGAGTAGTGGCAATGTCATTAGATGGGCAGGATATGAGACAAACAAATAATCTGGTGATAGTGTGCTATTACTATTTCAGATACACACCATGGCTGACACAGTATCTGTTCCCAGACCATGAATTGCTCAGGAAATGTTTCTTTGGGTAAAGGAGGAAGCTTGCCTAGTAGAACGCTGGCATACTCCTCTACTGACAGAAGTCCATCCAAGAGCAGATAGTGGTTGTTAAGTCTCATCTTGTGGGCCTGCACTGGTTTTTCATTTGTTTCTCAGACAAATATAATGCCCAGTCCTGCACAGACCCTTCCCTTCAGGAAAAAGGAAGGTTATGTGACCTTCATGAAAAGGAAAGCTTATGTGACCTTACACTGATGCAAATTAATACTGTACAGGATTGGTGCTACTATATCCTAACAAACAGTGTGCACAAAAAAATTGTATACAACATTATTAAATACAACATTTGACCCCAAAACAAAGACCAAGCAGGACATTTTTAGTGTCTGAGATGGTTAAATTAGGGCTATCCCTTCCATTGGGTCAGTGGCTCCCAACCTTCAGTCACCAGATGTTCTTGGACTAAAACTCCCAGAAGCCTTTACTGTTTGCTGTGCTGGCCAGGATTTCTGGGAGTTGTAGCCCAAGAACATCTGGGGTCCCAGGGATGGGAACCATTGCCTTAGGAAGCAGATTTTAGATGCCATAAATGGCAACAATCCATGAGTTCTTGTATTTTGACAGCCAGGGATTAAGAGAGGTACCCCTCAGATTTCTGGCCTGACTAAACTGGTTTGGGATACTTTACCCCTTTGACTTAGCTTAGGGAAAATCATTTGCTTTTTCGTCTCAGGCCAGCCCCTAAGCTAGATCATCCAATTGTTCTCTGGCACACAAAGCTCACTGAAATGTAGGGACAGTTTGCTTCTGCTCCTTTATGTGAAGCCCCCCCACACCAGAATGTGTGCTAATCCCACAGATAGGCAATTTGGTGTGGGCTACCATTCACCGTCTAGATAGACTCATTTCAGTCAGGGTTCAGGCGGTGCCATGGAAATCAGACAGCATTGGTCACCCTGCAAGATGATCTCCTGAGGGAGAGAGACAGGGAGAGCATAACCCTGCGGGTCCTCCTGGATCTTTCCGCAACCTTTGATATTGTCAACCCCAGTCTCCTTTGGGGACATTTATCAAGCTTGGGATTTGGGGCCTCCATTCTTTGGTGGTTCCAGTCCTTCCTCAAGGGCTGATCCCGGATGACACAGCTTGGGGAGGTGTTGTGCACCACTTGGGACCTCCATTATGGGGTTACGCAGGGATCAGTTCTCTCCCCAATGCTTTTTAATATCTATAGGAAGCCACTGGGAGAAGTTATATGGAGATTTGAAGTACATGGTCATCAATACGCGGATGATACACAGCTCTAGCTCTCCAACTGCTGTGCAAATCCTTGAGTGCTGCCTGGAGTCAACAATAAGCTGGACGAGGGCCAACAAACTGAAAGGGAATCCAGATAAGACAGCAATTCTACTTTTGGTGGATCATTGGAACAGTTAGAGGGATATTTTCCCAGCCTCAGTGGGATTACAAACACCACCCCCCCCCCAAAGGATATGGGTTTACAACCTGGGGGTACTCTTGGATGCAGCTCTCTCTGTGGAGGCTCAAATATCAGCTGTAGTGAAGAGTGACTTTTATCAACAGTTGGTTGCCCAGCTGTGTCCCTACCTGAATAGGAGATGCCTAACAACAGTGGTTCATGTGTTAGTAATCTCTAAAATAGACTACTGTAATGCTTTCTTCATAGGGCTGCCTTTGAAGTCAGTACGAACATTTCATCAGGTCCGAAATGCAATGGCCAGACAACAGGCACCAGTAGATATGGACATACATCTCCAGTCTTGGTACAACTGTATTGCCTCCCTGTTAGTTTCCATGCTCAATGTTAAGGTGTTGGCCATACTTTCTAATGCTCTCAACAGTTTAGGACCTCAATATATAGCAAAACGTATCTCCTACAAAAGAGCTGTCCATCTCCCCCACTCCTCGCAGTCCTTGATGCTAAAAACTGCAACACTCAAGGAGGCCTAAACACAAGGAACAAAGCGTTCTCAATCATGCTCCTTTCCCTCTGGAACAAGATTCCTACAAAGATGCACAAGGCGCCAATCATGCTCCTTTCCCTCTGGAACAAGATTTCTACAAAGGTGCACAAGGCGCCATCCCTCTCTGTTTTTAGGAAGCTAATTAAGACTGAATTGCGGTACTCCCTCTCTGTTTTCAGGAAGCTAATTAAGACTGAATTGCCATATTTTTTTTCAGTGTATAAGACACTACTTTTTCCTAAAATTATTACACTAAAAATCGAGGAGTATCTTATACATGGAAGTAAGCTGAGAACATGGAGATAACAAAATGGCCCTTATCTTGCCTCTGTAAACAGGCTGCCTCTAATCATAAGACTCAGCTTCATACACTCAGGAGACTTAGCTTCCTCCAATCATGAGCTTTTTGGAACTTATGTCACCTGATGCTGAACAAGCCAGTTGGAACACACCTCCTTGGAGGTGGAGCCTGTAGGCAGTGCTCAGATTCAACAGGGACTCTGAATGTCTGAGCGTTCTGAACCCAGAGGCTGAATACTCAAAGCTAAGTTTTCTTAATTTGGGGGCTAGAAAATTGGGGGGGGGGAATCTTATAAACAAGGGTGTATTATAAACATTAAAATACAGTATATAAAGCAGCCTTGTCCTAGTGTAAATATTGTCCTGAGATGCACAAATTAAAACCCATTTGAACATTTTTATTTAAAGGTAGTTTTTAGCTAGCGACAGAGCTCATTGTATTTTATTGTATTATACAGTACTGTGTTTTAGTTTATGACTTTGTCATTTACTGTGAACCACCCAGAGAATGGCAACACTAATGGGGCAGTGTAGAAATGGAACGAACGAATGAACGAACAAACGAACGAACAAACGAACTAACTAACTAACTAATCAGTCCCTGGCCACTGGACATGCTCATTGAGGCTGATGGGAGTTGTAGTCCAAAGTATTATGGAAGACACTAGTTTGTTTATCCCACTGACAGCCTGAAATGGTCTTCTGCAACTTGGCTCAAGATTCTATACATTGGGCCTGTAATTCTACATTTTTTCCAGGAGGTGTTGCTCTGAGGCCAGTTCTGCTGGTATTTAGAGGCTCTCTCTCTCTCTCTCTCTCTCTCTCTCTCTCTCTCACACACACACACACACACACACACACACACACACACACACATCTCACCTTTTCTTCCTAGTCTCTTGAGCTTTTTGTCTTTTAGTACATTATTCAAACACTAATTTTCCTTGAATGAAGGTTATCATGTTACTTGAACACTAATTCTGCTTGGATATCACCTTGAGGAAACAGAAGCACCATCTTGCCAGAAATGCCAAGAGCTGGTGTAATCCTTACTTTGGTAGTTCAGCAATAAAAGTATTTTTCCGCTGTGGTTTGTGTTTTGGACTTCTCTTGAGCACTTTATCATAACTATATTATTTACCAAGCTGTACCAGGTGTTTTGCCTGATCTCATAGATGTTTACTCTTTACTCTGTCCCATTTGGTTCAGTGCAACAAACTTGCAAATAAGGAGATACAGACTTTTTTTCTATGCGATTCCCTCTTCTCACTTCTGCCTATTTCTGGGCAAAAGTTACAAAATGTGTTATTAGAGAACATGATATAATGTATTAGATAAAAACTTTAAAGCACTTTGTAGCTCAATTTTATTGCATTTGTCAATACACAATAATCTTATAAATAGATTCCATTCTAGGAAGAAGGCAAATTTTAAAATTCTAAAAGGAGAGTACAAGGTGTAATAAAAATATTCTCTTTCTACATTTTGGGATGCTTTTTTAAATGTTTGAACTCTATGTTTGCCAATTCTAAGGTATGTCAACTAGTGGTTTCCTAAAGTTTATTGCTATGATTTCCATAATTCTGGGTCCAACATCTTGGATTTAATGTACTCTTAGATTATTCAGATCCCAACAGAGGTCTCCATGGATATAAGCCCCATTCAGTTCAAAGAGAATTACTTCCCACAGATAGCCGCCTCAGTTGTCTTGTCTTTCACACTGACAACACATACAAGCAACAGCAGCGTTTCAACACAGCAGCAAGTTCAAGTTGATGATGATAATTTATAGCTCCAGTCTTGGATTATTTATTTCACTGCTAACCACAATCCTACTTTGCATTTTCTTGAGAGTGGGCCTCACTGAACACAACAGAATTTATGTTTGAGTAAACCTGTCTACATCCGGGCTGTACAAAATACTGTAATATGATCTGAAAACATAAATGAAAGCAACTTCAATTTAGTGGGATTTACTTTTGAGTAAGGCTAGGCTCTAAAATTCCAAGTAGCCAAACCCTGAGACTATAGGATTTGGTTTAGGATGGGAATTCAGTTCTCCACTGTGCCTCCTTGAGAGAGCTGGACTCAATACTCCATATGCTTCCAGCTCTGCAGGATGATTATACAGAAAAGAAAGGGAAGGGGAAGATACATTTGTAATGCCTTGTTTGGATCCTTCAATGGGAAATTACAGTGATTTTGTAATTCTAGGAAATGAGCCCTATCCTGTACCCCACTGTCCATAGTTCCTAGGATATACCTCCTGGACTACACCTCCCAGGATGCTTGGTGGGGGATTCTGGGAGGTGTAGTCCAAAACCTTAAGAAAAGAGACTTGGACATGTCAATCCAAACCCACTTGGTAAAGTTGCTTTTTTGGGCTAGGACTGCGGGAGTCCAGCCGCACGAGCAGCCGGCAGGCAGGGCTTGGGAAAGTTGGAAAAGCAGAGCCCAAAAA